AAATACACCCAAAAAAATACAGCGAGGAAATACAGCAAAGACTAGAGTCGAAGGGCAAAAAATTTTTTTTGAAGAGCCCAAAATTTTTATTAACCAAGCCTACCGATTTATCCTGACGCCAAAGACTTCGACAGGCATAAATGACTGCCCATGCACTCTGCCCCAGGGCCCGACTCGTGGAACTCGGGGGTTTACAAGAACTGCAAGAAGCCCCTACACGAGCCTTTTTATCCTATGGAGAGGGAGCATGCACGGGGGGGTCCCACGTTACTAAAACAACAGACTAGCCCCATCCCAAAGGGGGCAGAAAACAACGCAAAGAACAGACCAAAAGCACTAACATCCCATATCATAAAAATCTTTTAAAGGTCCCAAGCAAGATCACCACCACAGAAACCCTCATTACAAAACCCAGGGCAAAGGGTTTAGAACAGTCCCCTCCTTCTGTCTAACTATTGGGTCACTACGACAAGGTCCCAATGAACTAGAAGACAAAAAGAATGCAGATGTAATATATACAGACTTTGCAAAAGCCTTCGACAAGTGTGACCATGGCGTAATAGCGCACAAAATGCGTGCTAAAGGAATAACAGGAAAAGTCGGTCGATGGATCTATGATTTCCTCACTAACAGAACACAGAGAGTAGTCGTCAACAGAGTAAAGTCCGAGGCAGCTACGGTGAAAAGCTCTGTTCCACAAGGCACAGTACTCGCTCCCATCTTGTTCCTCATCCTCATATCCTACATAGACAAGGATGTCAGCCACAGCACCGTGTCTTCCTTTGCAGATGACACCCGAATCTGCATGACAGTGTCTTCCATTGCAGACACTGCAAGGCTCCAGGCGGACATCACCCAAATCTTTCAGTGGGCTGCAGAAAACAATATGAAGTTCAACGATGAGAAATTTCAATTACTCAGATATGGTAAACATGAGGAAATTAAATCTTCATCAGAGTACAAACAAATTCTGGCCACAAAATAGAGCGAAACACCAACGTCAAAGACCTTGAGTGATTATGTCGGAGGATCTCACCTTCAAGGACCATAACATTGTATCAATCGCATCTGCTAGAAAAATGACAGGATGGATAATGAGAACCTTCATCAAAACTAGGGAGGCCAAGCCCATGATGACACTCTTCAGGTCACTTGTTCTATCTAGGCTGGAATATTGCTGCACACTAACAGCACCTTTCAAGGCAGGTGAAATTGCCGACCTAGAAAATGACAGAGAACTTTCACCGGCGCGCATAACGGAGATAAAACATCTCAATTACTGGGAGCGCTTGAGGTTCCTAAACCTGTATTCCCTGGAACGCAGGAGGGAGAGATACATGATTATATACACCTGGAAAATCCTAGAGGACTAGTACCGAACTTGCACACGAAAATCACTCACTACGAAAGCAAAAGACTTGGCAGACGATGCACCATCCCCCCAATGAAAAGCAGGGGTGTCACTAGCACGTTAAGAGACCATACAATAAGTGTCAGGGGCCCGAGACTGTTCAACTGCCTCCCAGCACACATAAGGGGGATTACCAACAGACCCCTGGCAGTCTTCAAGCTGGCACTGGACAAGCACCTAAAGTCAGTTCCTGATCAGCCGGGCTGTGGCTCGTACGTTGGTTTGCGTGCAGTCAGCAGCAACAGCCTGGTTGATCCGGCTCTGATCCACCAGGAGGCCTGGTCACAGACCGGGCCGCGGGGGCGTTGACCCCCGGAACTCTCTCCAGGTAAACTCCAGGTAAAGAAATACAGCAGAGGAAACACAGCAGAGGAAACACAGCAGAGGAAATACAGCAGATGAAATACGGCAGAGGAAATACGGCAGAGGAAATACAGCAGAGGAAATACAGCAAAGAAATACAGCAAAGAAATACAGCAGAGGAAATACAGCAAAGAAATACAGCAGAGGAAATACAGCAAAGAAATACAGCAGAGGAAATACAGCAGAGGAAATACAGCAAAGAAATACAGCAGAGGAAATACAGCAGAGGAAATACAGCAGAGGAAATACAGCAGAGGAAATCAGCAAAGAAATACAGCAGAGGAAATACAGCAAGAAATACAGCAGAGGAAATACAGCAAAGAAATACAGCAGAGGAAATACAGCAAAGAAATACAGCAGAGGAAATACAGCAAAGAAATACAGCAGAGGAAATACAGCAGAGGAAATACAGCAAAGAAATACAGAAAGAGGAATAGAGCAAAGAAATACAGCAGAGGAAATACAGCAAAGAATTACAGCAGAGGAAATACAGCAAAGAAATACAGCAGAGGAAATACAGCAAAGAAATACAGCAGAGGAAATACAGCAAAAATACAGCAGAGGAAATACAGCAAAGAAATACAGCAGAGGAAATACAGCAAGAAATACAACAGAGAAAATACAGCAAAGAAATACAGAAGAGGAAATACAGCAAAGAAATACAGCAGAGGAAATACAGCAAAGCAATACAGCAGAGGAAATACAGCAAAGAAATACAGCAGAGGAAATACAGCAGAGGAAAAACAGCAAAGAAATACAGCAGAGAAAATACAGCAGAGGAAATACAGCAAAGAAATACAGCAGAGGAAATACAGCAGAGGAAATACACAAAGAAATACAGCAGAGGAAATACAGCAAAGAAATACAGCAGAGGAAAACAGCAGAGGAAATACAGCAAGAATACAGCAGAGGAAATACAGCAAAGAAATACAGCAGATGAAATACAGCAAAGAAAAACAGCAGAGAAAATACAGCAAAGAAATACAGAAGAGGAAATACAGCAAAGAAATACAGCAGAGGAAATACAGCAAAGAAATACAGCAGAGGAAATACAGCAAAGAAATACAGCAGAGAAATACAGCAAAGAAATACAGCAGAGGAAATCAGAAGAGGAAATACAGCAAAGAAATACAGCAGAGAAAATACAGCAGAGGAAATACAGCAAGAAATACAGCAGAGGAAATACAGCAGAGAAAATACAGCAAAGAAATACAGCAAGGAAATACAGCAAAGAAATACAGCAGAGGAAATACAGCAAAGAAATACAGCAGAGGAAATACAGCAGAGGAAATACAGCAAAGAAATACAGCAGAGGAAATACAGCAAAGAAATACAGCAGAGGAAATACAGCAAAGAAATACAGCAGAGGAAATACAGCAGAGGAAATACAGCAAAGAAATACAGCCAGAGGAAATACAGCAAAGAAATACAGCAGAGGAAATACAGCAAAGAAATACAGCAGAGGAAATACAGCAGAGGAAATACAGCAAAGAAATACAGCAGAGAAAATACAGCAGAGGAAATACAGCAAAGAAATACAGCAGAGGAAATACAGCAAAGAAATACAGCAGAGGAAATACAGCAAAGAAATACAGCAGAGGAAATACAGCAAAGAAATACAGCAGAGGAAATACAGCAGAGGAAATACAGCAAAGAAATACAGCAGAGGAAATACAGCAAAGAAATACAGCAGAGGAAATACAGCAAAGAAATACAGCAGAGGAAATACAGCAAAGAAATACAGCAGAGGAAATACTGCAAAGAAATACAGCAGAGGAAATACAGCAAAGAAATACAGCAGAGAAAATACAGCAAAGAAATACAGCAGAGGAAATACAGCAAAGAAATACAGCAGGGGAAATACAGCAAAGAAAATACAGCAGAGGAAATACAGCAAAGAAATACAGCAGAGGAAATACAGCAAAGAAATACAGCAGGGGAAAAATACAGCAGAGTGAAATACAGCAAAGAAATACAGCAGAGAAAATACAGCAGAGGAAATACAGCAAAGAAATACAGCAGAGGAAATACAGCAGAGGAAATACAGCAAAGAAATACAGCAGAGGAAATACAGCAAAGAAATACAGCAGAGGAAATACAGCAAAGAAATACAGCAGAGGAAATACAGCAGAGGAAATACAGCAAAGAAATACAGCAAGGAAATACAGCAAAGAAATACAGCAAGGAAATACAGCAAAGAAATACAGCAAGGAAATACAGCAGAGGAAATACAGCAAAGAAATACAGCAGAGGAAATACAGCAAAGAAATACAGCAGAGGAAATACAGCAAAGAAATACAGCAGAGGAAATACAGCAAAGAAATACAGCAGAGGAAATACAGCAAAGAAATACAGCAGAGGAAATACAGCAAAGAAATACAGGAGAGGAAATACAGCAAAGAAATACAGCAGAGGAAATACAGCAAAGAAATACAGCAGAGGAAATACAGTAAAGAAATACAGCAAAGAAATACAGCAGAGGAAATACAGCAAAGAAATACAGCAGAGGAAATACAGCAAAGAAATACAGCAGAGGAAATACAGCAAAGAAATACAGCAGAGGAAATACAGCAAAGAAATACAGCAGAGGAAATAGCAAAGAAATACAGCAGAGGAAATACAGCAAAGAAATGCAGCAGAGGAAATACAGCAAAGAAATACAGCAGAGGAAATACAGCAGAGGAAATACAGCAAAGAAATACAGCAGAGGAAACACAGCAAAGAAATACAGCAGAGGAAATACAGCAAAGAAATACAGCAGAGGAAATACAGCAGAGGAAATACAGCAGAGGAAATACAGCAGAGGAAATACAGCAGAGAAAATACAGCAGAAGAAATACAACAAAGAAATACAGCAAAGAAATACAGCAGAGGAAATACAGCAAAGAAATACAGCAGAGGAAATACAGCAAAGAAATACAGCAGAGGAAATACAGCAAAGAAATACAGCAGAGGAAATACAGCAGTGGAAATACAGCAGAGGAAATACAGCAGAGGAAATACAGCAGAGGAAATACAGCAAAGAAATATAGCAGAGGAAATACAGCAAAGAAATACAGCAGAGGAAATACAGCAGAGGAAATACAGCAAAGAAATACAGCAGAGGAAATACAGCAAAGAAATACAGCAATGGAAATACAGCAAAGTTATACAGCAAAGAAATGCATCAATTAAATACAATAAGAGATAAAGCAGGGAGGAGCAGAGATGGAGGGATTGCATTTTCTTAGACTGGTGCACAGTCACCATCAGAGACTGGTACACAGTCACCAACTGAGATTGGTACACAGTCACCATCAGAGACTGGTGCACAGTCACCATCAGAGACTGGTGCACAGTCACCATCAGAGACTGGTGCACAGTCACCATCAGAGACTTGTGCACAGTCACCATCAGAGACTGGTGCACAGTCACCATCAGAGACTGGTGCACAGTCACAATCAGAGACTGGTGCACAGTCACCATCAGGGACTGGTGCACAGTCACCATCAGAGACTGGTGCACAGTCACCATCAGAGACTGGTGCACAGTCACCATCAGAGACTGGTGCACAGTCACCATCAGAGACTGGTGCACAGTCACCATCAGAGACTGGTGCACAGTCACCATCAGAGACTGGTGCACAGTCACCATCAGAGACTGGTACACAGTCACCATCAGAGACTGGTACACAGTCACCATCAGAGACTGGTGCACAGTCACCATCAGAGACTGGTGCACAGTCACCATCAGAGACTGGTGCACAGTCACCATCAGAGACTGGTACACAGTCACCATCAGAGACTGGTACACAGTCACCATCAGAGACTGGTACACAGTCACCATCAGAGACTGGTGCACAGTCACCATCAGAGACTGGAGCACAGTCACCATCAGAGACTGGAGCACAGTCACCATCAGAGACTGGTACACAGTTACCATCAGAGACTGGTGCACAGTCGCCATCAGAGACTGGTGCACAGTCGCCATCAGAGACTGGTGCCCAGTCACCATCAGAGACTGGTGCCCAGTCACCATCAGAGACTGGTACACAGTCACCATCAGAGACTGGTAGTCACCATCAGAGACTGGTACACAGTCACCATCAGAGACTGGTGCACAGTCACCATCAGAGACTGGTGCACAGTCACCATCAGAGACTGGTGCACAGTCACCATCAGAGACTGGTGCACAGTCACCATCAGAGACTGGTGCACAGTCACCATCGGAGACTGGTGCACAGTCACCATCGGAGACTGGTGCACAGTCACCATCGGAGACTGGTGCACAGTCACCATCGGAGACTGGTGCACAGTCACCATCGGAGACTGGTGCACAGTCACCATCAGAGACTGGTGCACAGTCACCATCAGAGACTGGTGCACAGTCACCATCAGAGACTGGTGCACAGTCACCATCAGAGACTGGTGCACAGTCACCATCAGAGACTGGTGCACAGTCACCATCAGAGACTGGTGCACAGTCACCATCAGAGACTGGTGTACAGTCACCATCAGAGACTGGTGTACAGTCACCATTAGAGACTGGTGCACAGTCACCATCAGAGACTGGTACACAGTCACCATCAGAGGCTGGTGCAGTCACCATCAGAGACTGGTACCACTGCTGTTAACACCAACACAGCGCATCACAGAGGATCTGCTACACTAACACCAACACAGGCAGCACATCACAGAGGATCTGCTACACTAACACCAACACAGGTAGCACATCACAGAGGATCTGCTACACTAACACCAACACAGGCAGCACATCACAGAGGATCTGCTACACTAACACCAACACAGGCAGCACATCACAGAGGATCTGCTACACTAACACCAACACAGGCAGCACATCACAGAGGATCTGCTACACTAACACCAACACAGGCAGCACATCACAGAGGATCTGCTACACTAACACCAACACAGGCAGCACATCAAGAGATCTGCTACACTAACACCAACACAGGCAGCACATCACAGAGGATCTGCTACACTAACACCAAAACAGGTAGCACATCACAGAGGATCTGCTACACTAACACCAACACAGGCAGCACATCACAGAGGATCTGCTACACTAACACCAACACAGGTAGCACATCACAGAGGATCTGCTACACTAACACCAACACAGGCAGCACTTCACAGAGGATCTGCTACACTAACACCAACACAGGTAGCACATCACAGAGGATCTGCTACACTAACACCAACACAGGTAACACATCACAGAGGATCTGCTACGCTACTGGGCTCGTCCCCTTTAAGTTCGAGGTTCCAGGGCGGGTAAGTTCCTGCGAGTGTAGTTACTGGTGTGTGTTGATGCTGCCAGCTGTGGAGGACCTAGCAGCAGCATCAACAGAGTGAACAGCGGCAGTTCCAGCATCAACAGCAGCGGTAGTAGTTCCAGCATCAACAGCAGCGGTAGTAGTTCCAGCATCAACAGCAGCGGTAGTTCCAGCATCAACAGCAGCGGTAGTAGTTCCAGCATCAACAGCAGCGGTAGTAGTTCCAGCATCAACAGCAGCGGTAGTAGTTCCAGCATCAACAGCAGCGGTAGTAGTTCCAGCATCAACAGCAGCGGTAGTAGTTCCAGCATCAACAGCAGCGGTAGTAGTTCCAGCATCAACAGCAGCGGTAGTTCCAGCATCAACAGCAGCGGTAGTAGTTCCAGCATCAACAGCAGCGGTAGTAGTTCCAGCATCAACAGCAGCGGTAGTTCCAGCATCAACAGCAGCGGTAGTAGTTCCAGCATCAACAGCACCAGTTCCAGCATCAACAGCACCAGTTCCAGCATCAACAGCAGCGGTAGTAGTTCCAGCATCAACAGCAGCAGCATCAACAGCACCAGTTCCAGCATCAACAGCAGCGGTAGTAGTTCCAGCATCAGCAGCAGCGGTAGCACTTCCAGCATCAACAGCAGCGGTAGTAGTTCCAGCATCAACAGCAGCAGCATCAACAGCACCAGTTCCAGCATCAACAGCATCGGTAGTAGTTCCAGCTTCAGCAGCAACAGTTCCAGCAGCAGCAGCAGCAGTTCCAGCAGCAGCAGCATTATAGATATGTATATTTGATTATTTGTGCCACCGGTGCCAGGAGAGCGTATATGAGGTGTAGAGCTGTGTATATACACGTAGAGCTGTGTATATACACGTAGAGCTGTGTATACACACGATCTGTGTATACACATGCAGAGCTGTGTACACACACGCAGAGTTGTGTGTACACAGAACTGTGTGCGTGTAACATGCCAGTGTCATCCAGTCTTATTTTTTCTAGTTCATACTAATTTTAAACTAGAAACCACGTCAAGTGCTACACAGTCTAGGAAACCACGTCAAGTGCTACAGAACAGTCTAGGAAACCACGTCAAGTGCTACAGAACAGTCTAGGAAACCACGTCAAGTGCTACAGAACAGTCTAGGAAACCACGTCAAGTGCTACACAACAGTCTAGGAAACCACGTCAAGTGCTACACAACAGTCTAGGAAACCACGTCAAGTGCTACACAAGAGTCTAGGAAACCACATCAAGTGCTACACAACAGTCTAGGAAACCACGTCAAGTACTGCACAACAGTCCAGGAAACCACGTCAAGTGCTACACAACAGTCTAGGAAACCACGTCAAGTGCTACACAACAGTCTAGGAAACCACGTCAAGTGCTACACAACAGTCTAGGAAACCACATCAAGTGCTACACAACAGTCCAGGAAACCACATCAAGTGCTACACAACAGTCTAGGAAACCACGTCAAGTACTGCACAACAGTCCAGGAAACCACGTCAAGTGCTACACAACAGTCTAGGAAACCACGTCAAGTGCTACACAACAGTCTAGGAAACCACGTCAAGTGCCCCACCACAGTCTAGGAAACCACGTCAAGTGCCCCACCACAGTCTAGGAAACCACGTCAAGTGCCCCACCACAGTCTAGAAAACCACGTCAAGTGCCCCACCACAGTCTAGGAAACCACGTCAAGTGCTCCACGACAGTCTAGGAAACCACGTCAGGTGCCCCACCACAGTCTAGAAAACCACGTCAAGTGCCCCACCACAGTCTAGGAAACCACGTCAAGTGCTCCACGACAGTCTAGGAAACCACGTCAAGTGCCCCACCACAGTCTAGGAAACCACGTCAAGTGCCCCACCACAGTCTAGGAAACCACGTCAAGTGCCCCACCACCGTCTAGAAAACCACGTCAAGTGCCCCACCACAGTCTAGGAAACAACGTCAAGTGCTCCACGACAGTCTAGGAAACCACGTTAAGTGCCCCACCACAGTCTAGAAAACCACGTCAAGTGCCCCACCACAGTCTAGGAAACCACGTCAAGTGCCCCACCACAGTCTAGGAAACCACGTCAAGTGCTCCACGACAGTCTAGGAAACCACGTCAAGTGCCCCACCACAGTCTAGGAAACCACGTCAAGTGCTACACAACAGTCTAGGAAACCACGTTAAGTGCCCCACCACAGTCTAGAAAACCACGTCAAGTGCCCCACCACAGTCCAGAAAACCACGTCAAGTGCCCCACCGCAGTCTAGGAAACCACGTCAAGTGCTCCACGACAGTCTAGGAAACCACGTCAAGTGCCCCACCACAGTCTAGGAAACCACGTCAAGTGCTCCACGACAGTCTAGGAAACCACGTCAAGTGCCCCACCACAAGTCTAGGAAACCACGTCAAGTGCCCCACCACAGTCTAGAAAACCACGTCAAGTGCTCCACGACAGCCTAGGAAACCACATCAATTGCTCCACCACAGTCTAGGAAACCACGTCAAGTGCTCCACGACAGTCCAGGAAAATGCAGAGAACCCACTATTATCTTTCCTGATCGTTATTCCCCATTGAATTCCGGTACATTAGTATGAGTGGATATTCTCTCTAACCTGAAGTTGGTTTTTAGAAAACTGTGCGTTATCTGTTTGGTTTATTGAGTGAGTTTTTAATATTTCAGTTTTTTAACAGTGTACATACGTGTCAGTGCAGCGTATATACGTGTTCAGTGCAGGGTATGTACATGTCAGTGTAGGGTATATACATGTCAGTGTAGGGTATGTACATGTCACTGTAGGTTATATACATGTCAGTGTAGGGTATGTACATGTCAGTACAGGGTATATACATGTCAGTGTAGGGTATATACGTGTCAGTACAGGGTACATACTGTCAGTGTAGGGTTTATACGTGTCAGTACGCGTACACATACACGACAGGGAACAAAACTCTTACACAAAGAGTGTCGTTCTCTGTGAATCATGTTGAACATCATGTTACAACGACAGGAGAAACAAGAAAATGTCGTACTCAAAAGGAGAAAGATATTCGTGTCGTTTCTGAACGACAGGATAGATGTCTATCGTCTCAAAATGACGGGGGAAATGTGCGTCGTGAGAATGGTACAGGAGATTCAGAATTATAGCGTGCCTAAACGACGGGATGAGCAAGTGTCGCGTCAGAACGACGGGAGGAGGAAGTGTCGTGTCAGAACGACAGGAAGAGTAAGTGTTGTCAGAACGACAGGAGGAAGAGTGTCGTAACAGCACAACAGGAGGGAGAAAGTGTCGTGACAGAAGGACAGGAGGAGGATGAAAGTGTCGTGTAAGAACTACAGGAGGGAGAAAAGTGTCGTGTCAGAACAAGAGGACAGAGGATCATCGTCACAATGAATCTCACAAAGACGACCAAGGAAGAAGAGTTTGTTGCAAGACTCATCACACTAAGAAGGCAAGAGGCAGGGAGCCAAGATGACGTCTGTGGCAGACCCCGTGGGGGAGGCTCATGTCTGTGATGTCTCTCTGGCTGATGTCTCTGGATGATGTCTGTCTCTTTGGCTGTCTCTCTGGCTGATGTCTCTCTGGCTGATGTTTCTCTGGCTAATGTCTCTCTCTGGTTGATGTCTCTCTGGCTGATGTGTCTCTGGCTGATGTGTCTCTGACTGATGTGAGTGTCTCTCTTGCTGATACCACTCTGGCTGATTCATTCTCTCTCTCTCTCTCTCTCTCTCTCTCTGCCTGATATATCTCTGAGCGTTGCGTGCCTTCCTCTCCAGAAGGTCTTTATCATATCTGATGTCTGGTTGATGTCTGCATGAATGTTTGGCTGACGGATTTCTGAGGGATCCCTGTCTGAAAGTCTAAATGATGCATGTTTTAATGCTTGACTAATCTCTGGTTAATGCTTCGCTGATGTCTAGCTAATGCTTGGCTAATTTCTACCTCATGCTTGGCTAATCTCTGATGGATGTCTGATGTCTGCCTGGCTAATGTCTAACTGATGACTCTGTCTAATTCCTGTCTGACTCGGGTTTCTCTCTCCTATCTGCCTGATGTGTCTGTCTTCGATAGGGTCTGAGGAGAAACGAAGTAGGGAGTAAAAAGAGAAAAAGTGAAAGAATTAGAAGGGGCAGAAAGGGCTTAAGAGAATGATGGGTGAGACTTGAAGAGGACTGCGGGGAAGAGAAAGGAATGAATGAACTCTTGAGAGGGGAGTTGGGAATTTGTGAAAGAGGTTTGAAAGGGAATCTAAGAGGAGGGATAGGAGATTGGAATAGACTTGAGAGGGGTAAGAAAGGACTCACGAAATCGTAATGGGGTATGGTGGATAAGAAAGGGTTT